TGGGGGACAGTGTGTGTGTATGGAGGGGCAGTATGGGGGGCAATGTGTGTGTATGGGGGGCAATGTGTGTGTATGGGGGGCAATGTGTGTGTATGGGGGGGCAGTATGTGGGGCAATGTGTGTGTATGGGGGGCAATGTGTATGTATCCTATCCTGTCCCCCCACACACACATCCCTATGCCCCCCACACTACACATTGGCTGTCCTGGGGGCACTTAACAGATATACTCACATGCCTGTCACTGGTGATGACACAACATGCACCCTCTCAAGACGCTTCCCTCCTAGGGCTGCTCTGCCTTTAAATGCCCGGGATGAATTTTTGACCCAGTGCGGCCCTGCCTATATCCATAGGGGCATACAAGCCTATAGATCCACAAGTACACTCTACTACATTAATATTATTATTATTATTATTAGCATGTATATATCACCAACCAAATCTGCAGTGCTCACAATATTATTAAGAGGACTTTGACAACAAATGAGACACACCATTACAAATGTTGACAGGAACAATAGGTTGATGAGGACCCTGCTCAAACAAACTTACAATCTAGAGGATGTACTATTGTTTTATAAAAAAATGTTTTGCCTTAGGATGATTTAAAAAAATTATAATAATATTTCAAGATTGTTTTCGCTACTTGTTGTACTTTATTTCTAATTTGGCTTTGCTTTTCGTGTATGTACTTCCAGTAAGTGTTATGTTGTTTCCTGGTGTTCCATTTTTTTTATGTTAGATGTTCAATGAAGGGGAAACACAAGGTCAAAAATGCTCAGGCATGTGCACATTTACATTACTTTCCTTAATTATTCCTTTAGTAGATGTTTTCACATGTTATTACATTCCTTTGCCCTGTAAACCACATCCCCAGCCTTATCTGAATAAAAATCATGTGTGTTACCCTTTGAGAGAGGCCAAAGCATTGAAAGGAAAGCATGCGTGTCCGACAACATCTACAGTACCAGTCGATTACTGCAATTCAAAACGGATACTTTATATTTGCAAATTTCCGGTCACACAAAAAAAGAGCTAGATTTGTTTTCTAGTGCAAATGTGCAAAACACGTTTCTGCCACATATTAGAGTTTACTGACCTACATATTCAGTATTTCCTGACTAATCTTAGAGTATTGAAAGACTCCATGTATCACAAAATTCTTTTTTTCCATGCTTTTGTATATTGTACATATGTACCTGTCATGCAATATGCTAGCAACGTGTTGAGATCTTTTTGGGGAACTCCTGCCACATTGTACATTTGTTACGTTTTTCCTTGTTATAGATATATAGTTTATCTTTATGATAAATGTTACTCTTTGCTTAAGGAGATAGTTGAATTTGAAGTAAACCTGTTGTAACTTAAAAGATCGCTATAGTGTCAGGAAAACAAACTATTTTCCTGACACTATATCATTCCTTAGGATCCCACCACCCTCAGGGCCTCCCTCCCACTGGGCTGAAGGGGTTAAAACCCCTTCAGCCACTTACCTTTATCCAGCGCCGGGCTCCCTCGACGCTGGTGACATCTCCTCCCCTAACCGACGTCAGCTCCTGAGTGGAGCGGAATGCGCATGCGCGCGCGCATTCAAACAGTCCATAGGAAAGCATTTCTCAATGCTTTCCTATGGACGTTCTGCACGCTGAATGCGATTTTCTCATCCAGCATCGCAGAAGCGCCTCTAGCGGCTCTCAGGAAAATAGCCACTAGAGGTTGGATTAACCCTGCAATGTAAACATAGCAGTTTCTCTGAAACTGCTATGTTTATATCTGAAGGGTTAAAACCTGGGGGACCTGGAACCCAGACCACTTTATTGAGCTGAAGTGTCCCTTTTTGGGTCTTAGAAGAAAACAAATCTATTTGTTAAAGGGACACTAAAGTCCATAATCACCATCTTCTTCATTAATCCTAATTACAGCCATACAACAATTTGCACGTCTGAAAAATGTGAGACATTTGGGAAGCTAACTTGCAGAAACTCATTACTCATTACTTTAGTGTCCCTTTAACAAATAGATTTGTTTTCTTCTAAGACCCAAAAGTGCTTATTTATTTTGTTCTGTTTATTTGTTCATATACACCTGTATATATTATTTATACTTATATTGATATTAAATGGCGTATGGAATTTGTAAATCATTGAAGTAAACTTAGACTGTCTGAGAATAAATTGTTCCCATTTAATAATGAGTTTCTGCAAGTTAGCTTCCCAAATGTCTCACGTTTTTCAGACGTGCAAATTGTTGTATGGCTGTAATTAGGATTAATGAAGAAGATGGTGATTATGGACTTTAGTGTCCCTTTAACAAATAGATTTGTTTTCTTCTAAGACCCAAAAGTGCTTATTTATTTTGTTCTGTTTATTTGTTCATATACACCTGTATATATTATTTATACTTATATTGATATTAAATGGCGTATGGAATTTGTAAATCATTGAAGTAAACTTAGACTGTCTGAGAATAAATTGTTCCCATTTAATAATGAGTTTCTGCAAGTTAGCTTCCCAAATGTCTCACGTTTTTCAGACATGCAAATTGTTGTATGGCTGTAATTAGGATTAATGAAGAAGATGGTGATTATGGATGTAACGGATCACCTGGCACCCTGACTGGGTACCTCCGTTGAAGGATGCTCCTAGCGCTTCCTGAGGACTCCAAGCACTGCAGCAGACACCACAACCACTGAACCAGAGAAGCATACGAATGCTCTCAAGCATATGAATGCTGTAAGCTGAATAGGAAAAGCATACAATCAGCTTACACTCCTGGCAATCAGCATACAATCCAATTCCCCCAATAAGGAGACGACACTTCGTTTTGAGGTCAAGCAGAACTGACTGTACTGGCACATACAGCCTCTTTTATTCACAATCCACAAACATAGTACTGCCCACAGGGTTTTGAAATACAACCAATCAATCTGTACAATACACACAGACACTCCCACACAAAATCCTCCCCTCTGCCTGTGATATGATTACTGAACACAATGGGTAATATAATTATCACAGGCAGAGAAATACAGTTTTTACAAAATATTAATAACGTCCAAAATATACATGCCATTCACATAAAACATACATTTTCAGAATCCGCATGCTTGAAATATACACATACTCACAAATCAGGGCAATCGGTTCAGGGGTTAAAAAGTTAAGGGAAAGTCCTATTTGACAAAATGAAGCATGGTTTTTCTGCCCAAAACCAGTTCCACAGAGTCTTCTATCCTGGAGATAATTGGGAAGTAATCCAATTATCTCCAAGGACAGAGGCAAAACTCCATTAGCCTCATGGTAGCAAAATACAATAAAAATATATAACTGTTCAGCGATTGCATAAAACGGGTACATTCAACATATCCCCAGATAGCTTAGATCTGAGCGCAAATTATTACTGAATGGCGCTTAGATCACATACATACATCACATACAATTGCCATGGAGCCAAAGTCTTTCACATAGTCTTACGTTATACGAATGGGCTCCATGGCATAGCTATCTGGGATAACACTGCTCACATAGGGAAAGTACCGAATGATCCGGCTTTCGGGTCTTTGCAGGGAAAATCCAGCATTTCAACATGGGGCCATAGTCACAGGGCAGGAGGCTGGCAATCAGTCTTCTCCAATG